TTTTAACTTTCTTGTACTTCTCTTCTTTGTGAGTTTCTAACATTAAAAATTATGTCAGTAAGCAACTTGATTTAACCAATTATTTGGTTTGAAATTTCTTTTCGTTCCGAATTTTTAAGGTTCTCAAGCATATCAACAGTACTGGTACATGGCCGACTGAAACTCTGATTGAAGACAAGATACAGGTACCAAACCCAAATGCAATTTTATGGTCCTCTCATGGACTCAAGTAACTGTCTCTTCCTATGTACTTTAAAGCCTTCTCAAACTCAACATCTCTCTCACGGCTCAAGATGCTCGATCTGCTATTGAACAACTACTTTGAGGTCAAGCTCATGCTCGACTTCTTCAACTCGATAGAACTTTATAGTTCTAGATCTGATTCAATTGATGCATATCTCCAAAAGGTAGTTCTGTTTGACTCCCTTATGACCATCGGTTATGAGCTGTCTAAAAATGATTTGGTTTTTCAAATCCTGGAAGGTCTTCCTATCAATTATGAAAATATCATCATTAGTTTAAGTTCCCAAGAACCACTATCCTCATTCTTCCAACTTTAGACAGCACTGCATATTCAAGAAGTTCGACTTGCACGACGTCAGAAAAAATCTTCCTTTACAGCCAATTCCTTTCCCTTTGTTGCTACAAAAGCTTCTCAGCAATCCCATCCATGAACTAATCTCTTCAAATTGGTTGTTCGCAGTTTCCTTCTAATTACAGAAGGCATCGTCAATCCCGTGGCAGAGGTCACAATTAACCTATCAATCGGTCTACAGGCTCTTATCAATAGTTTTTGCATGGAACTCTCAGCCACATCATGAAGCTCAATATTCCAATCACTTTTCCCCAAGTTTTCAATGTCAATTTTGTTTGAGACATAAAAACACAGCCTGAGAATTTCCTTCACTATTGAGGCAAATATCCACATAACCCTTTACCCAAACTAACTCAACTCAGAGGTTGATTGCTGCTCTTCAACTCAAGGAGCCCCATAAAACATTCTGGTTTCATAATACTAGGACAGCCTCTCATATCACAGCCACACCAGGAATTCTCAATTTCTCTTCTCCTGTACCTCTAAAGTTATTTATGGAGATGAGTCCTTCCATAATGTGTCTCACATTGGTTCTTCTGTTCTCAATTGGTCTGGTTAAAATTTTTACTTAGAACAATGTTTTTCTTGTGCCTTCTCTCACCACTAATCTTATCTCAATTTAGTGGTTCACTAAAGATTGTTTGAAAAGGGAAGTATATATAATTTTTCTTTTTTGTAATATATAGAATGAGACCTATTTAAGTAGAACCTTATTACGGTGGAATATCCCATAGATCATTGAATTCTAAAATAATTAGGTTTTTCTTTTATGTAGATATAACAACATTATAAATAATAGGTGTGTTATCCTCTATAACATTTAATAAAAGATATAAATTTTACTACATGGTCTCATAGGGGAGATGTGTGGCAGCATCCCGTACTAGGAAGCAGTGAGCTTGGCAACCCAGGCTGCGACAGCACCTGTCGGACAGAGAGGAATCCTTTTGACTCCTCTCTCGCACGATGAGAAGAAAAAAAGAATTGGGGTTCATAAGATAGAAGAAACTCTAAAACCAGTCTAGGAAGTAAACCAGTTGAAAGGATGTTGACCAAACCAAACCTGGTTCAGGGA